GAACCGCTCAGTAAACAGACCAACGTAAAAGATCGATAATAAAAACATGCCGGTCTCTTCAAGGTAATATAAAATTTTCTAACGAAATACCCAACAAACACAGCTGCATCTATAATAATAAAATTTTCCAACAAATATTCAATAAACACAGCTGCACCAATAGCAATAAAATTATCATAGATGAATTGGATCTTTTTTCTAATCTAAACACGTGCAAGAAATCTTTGAGCGAATATCGAACTCGCCAATGGACGATCACTACAAGTAAAACGTAAAAAATAGAAGAAACACCCCGCCTAACGAAGACACTGGCACATTTTTAATTTGCTAAGATTGAAAAATTCCCACTTCTGCGCAAATTCAATTCGTCGAAGTTTTGGAAGATTCTTACTCTTAGAATTAGAATACGCCCCAAAAAGAAAATTATAAAAAGAGAACTCGCGAACACATCAGTCTCTCTTATTTTGCAACTCTCAATCCGAGTACTCTTGCTCCGTGCAGTGTTGCCAACTCGGATCATCGTTATCCCACCAGAGGGCTTCGTGGATCCCACTAAAAACCACTAAACTCCTCTGCGTTCTTTCCCACCAGAAACCACTAATGGTGCATGCTTTCCCACCCAAAAATCACTGTATGTATACTTCGATTTAGTTTTCAATAGTATGTATACTTAGTTTGTGCCTGTAAGTGAGATTTGTTTAATGCTAATGTAAACTCGGGGTCCCTGAGTTACTGAGGGGAGACGCACTACAATGGTGCCGGAACACGCAACATCGTTGGCAAACCTGAGAAGATTTTGATCGCGCATTCCGCGCTCAATTTCTGCCCCGCCGCTACCAGGCCGTCCTCCGCCGGAAAACCGCCGACCGCCGTCAACAACCGGGCGAGAAGTTTAAGAAGTATGTAGCCGACATACTTGCGCTGATGCGTCGGGCCGGCGGGTTCACAGCCGAAGAAGAATACGAGCGCGTATACCAGAATATGCGCCCGGAGATAAAAAGACTCATCGAATATGATGAAACCGGCGACCTAGACAACCTGCAGGCACGCGCTACGGAACTCGAGGATATCGACGCGCAATGCGCGGCCGAACAAAGACGCAACCGCCCGGGAAACCCCAAACCGGCAATCGCCGCCGTGTACAACCAGGAGGACTGTTGCTGGCGATGTAAACAACGAGGTCACACACGGTTTAACTGCCAACGACCGCCACGCAAGTTCGGCTCCCAATGCGGTACAGACGGCGTATTAACAAGACAGTGCCACCCGCCGGCGGGAAACGCCGAGCGGGCCGGGGCCACCACATCAGCCGCCAGAACCCCGAGCCCCGCATCCGATTCACGCCGCGGCCGCACATTCGCGTCCAACTAGACCAAAACCGATACGACGCACTACTAGACTCCGGATCCGAGATTTCGTTTGTGAACGAGCAAACGGCCACCCACGCACAACGAGGGGGTCACGCAATCGAGTGAGTCTCAATTGCGCACATTACCGATCGGACACGACAATATTTCCCAATCGGACACAGACCCAATCGGACACAGGTTCGATCGGACACAGTTGGTTGCAATCGGACACAGGCCCGATCGGACACAGGCCCGATCGGACACAGGCCCGATCGGACACGGACATGTGTCCGATCGGGAAATATTGTCGTGTCCGATCAGTAATGTGCGCAATCGGGACGACCCCACGCAATCGACCGACACGAAGAGGAGGTACAACTCGCGAACGGCGAAACTACCCGGATCCCCGGCACCATCACCTTGCCAATCTGCATCGGAAACCGCATGTACCGGCACGACTTCGCGATCCTGCCGAACCTCGAGAGCCCGATATTAATCGGCATGGATCTCTGGGCACGCACCGGCATCCGCCTTGCCCCGCTTCGATATATCCCCCGAGCGAACGCACCTGCACTGCACGGAACGACAGGGGGACTGACACCGCAAACCGTCACGGAAGAAAGACGATTAAAGGACTTCCTCGAGCACAAATTGACGAAATTCGCGAACATCCAGGGCCCGACCAATCGCGCACAGCACGAGATACGATTGCGTGACCCGACGCCGATCAAACAACGCTATCGGCCCCGCAACCCTGCGATGCAAGCGGTCATAGATCGGGAAGTAGCAGAGATGGAGGCCGCCGGCGTCATTGAACCATTCAAAAGCGCCTGGAGCTCTCCCGTAGTGCTCGTCGAAAAGAAGAACGGAAAGTACCGTTTCTGTATCGATTTCCGCAAAGTCAATGACGCCACGGAGAAAGACGCATACCCGTTACCGCAAGTAGTCGCGACACTCGACAAACTACGGGGCGCTCGATACTTGACAACACTGGACTTAAAAAACGGGTATTGGTAGATACCGCTCAAACCCGCCAGCTGACCGATCACCGCTTTTACGATCCCAGGGCGGGGATTGTATCAATTCACGGTAATGTCATTCGGGCTACACTCCGCACCGGCCACCTTCCAACGGCTATTAGACACGATCATAGAACCAGCCCTTGAACCAAACGTGTTCGTCTACCTGGACGAGGTCAAATACCGGAAAGGCACGCTCAACCGCGTAGCCGACGCCCTATCGCGTCAGCCCGAGATTTGCGTCGCAACCACGCGCCAGTGCCGCTGGTATCAGCGCATCTTCCAGGAGGTCGAAGACGAACCAGACAGCCGACCCGATTACCGCATCACGGACGGGAAACTGTTCCGCCACATCCTGCACAGCCTGAATTTTAAGGAGAACACAGCGGAAGAGCAGTGGAAGGAATGCGTAGCGAAGGAGCAACGACCAACAGTGATGCGTAACTATCACGACGCACCAACCGCGGGCCACCTCGGAATCGCCAAGACAATCGCCCGAATCGCCGAGCACCACTATTGGCCGGGAATGTTTCGGGATATCGCCGCGTATGTACGAACGTGCGAGAGATGCCAAGCGTACAAAGTGGCTCAACAACAATCAGCCGGCAAGCTCCACGCCACCGACGTGCAACGGCCCTGGGAACAGGGTACCACCGACCTCGTCGGGCAGCGGCCCGTGGTAGCGACCACGCTCACGCCAAAGCCACACGTGGCTTTACGTGATGCAAGATCGGTTCTCGAAGTGGGTGGAATTGACACCCCTTCGCCAAGCCACCGCCAAAGCAGTCACGAAAGCCATCACCGAGAGGGTAATCCTCCGACATGGTCGACCAGAGAGCATCCTGTCGGATAACGGCACGTAATTCACGTCGAGAGACTTTGCCGAAAGGCTGAAAGCCTTCAATATCCAGCACAAAACCGCACCAGCCTATGCACCACACTGCAACCCGGTGGAGAGGACGAACCGAACGATCAAGACGATGATCAGCAAATTCGTCGACAAAGACCACAGAGATTGGGACGAACACCTGCCCGCATTCCAGTTCGCCTTCAATACAGCCGTGCACGACGCCACCGGCTACACACCAGCGTATATTACACACGGGCGAGAGCTCGTGCCCCCGCACCGCACCGCACCAGCCACCAAGACCGTCCGCATAAAATTAGCCAGAGCCTTCCAGCGGCAGGAGAGATACTACAATCTCAGGCGACGAGAATGGAGACCACGCGTGGGAGAGTGGGTGTGGAAGAGAGACCACCCGCTGTCAAAGAAAGCCGACAATTTTAATGCGAAACTCGCGCCAAAATACATTGGCCCGCTCGAAGTTCGCCGAATCGTCTCACCAGTGATCGTAGACCTGAGGAGCAAGCGGGGAAAGTGGTACAGACATGTACACATCCAGGATTTCAAAGTCGCAAAAACAAAACACGACGGCGACAATAACAACCCCGAGGACGAAGCCGATGATACCCCTACTACCGGCGGGGAAGAATAAACGGCCGAAACCGAAAGCTAACGGCACAGACCGCAAAGATGAGTCAACCCGACGACATCCTCGCTGCGATCAACCAGCTCCTGGACGATCCGCTGTTCGCATACGATCCTCCGCTGCCAGGACCGTCCGACCAGCGAAAACCGCCGACGACCGACCGTCCGTCAACCGGTCCGACCGCCCGACCACCGAGCCGACCGCCAAAGATCGGAACGCTGATTCAGCGCTCCGACCGCGTCAATCAGCTCAAAATGCAGCAGCTGATGCAGGCTCCGCCACCGCCGCCTGCCCGCTCGCGACCACCAGCGAGCACTCCAGCCCGCAAGAGATCGCGGGAAACCGAGAACGAGACCGGCGAAGACCAGCCGCCTCGCCTCCTGATGCCGACAGGCCCGTTACTGCCGCCACCGATCCGGGTTCAAATAGAACCCGGCATAATCTTCGACGTGCCCCACTTCGCGGTGCACGTCTCAAGAAAATATAAGATCCGATCGCCGCAGGGCCACTGGGTCATGAGATTCTCGAAAACCGGAGAACTGAGATACCGCCGCCGGCTAAACTAAATACGAGCGACCGAGACGCAAAACACCGCGTAACCGAGCGAATGCCTCAAATTCAGGCATAATTTACGAAAGGGGGTGATGTAACGAGGCATCCCCCTCAGTAATGCACCGTTACCCGGCCGCCGATCCGGGTATAAATAGCGCGCGTTTTCGGTTATCGGGACCAGATCTTTCCGATCCAGCAGAGTCAGTAAGACGTCTGAAACCTTCCGAATTCCTGATAAAGCTCCTAAGAAAAAGAACAACAGGGTTGGGTGTACTCAGCCTCCGCCGAGAGTTTGCGGCATCTCTACGAGCAATCCTGACACCACCGCAATTAAGAGGTATACGGGATCGGGCGTACTCGACCCAGCCGAGAGTGCTCGGCCCCTCGCTAGCTATTCCATCCACCGTGTGTATCGGCATTGTTCCAGTGGCAGGGAGTTCTCTGCCACCGACGGGATTCCTCGTTGGCCGATACATTCCTGATTCCGCCACCCGCGATCCAGATACGCGAATTACAATCGACAATTACACGTACGGACAGACCGCTGGCCACCGCCATTAACGCGCCCAACGCGCCATTATTACGGGCACGATAAGTCCCGCGCCGAGGGCCGACCTGCGCCCTACCGCGACACCGATCGACACCCGAAAGCACGACCCGCGCTGCATGCGATCGCGGTGCATTGCATGCACCTCCGGCATTGCATACTCGCACACCGACAGTATACATACTCGCACGCATACATGTACACTCGCTCACATACATTATACGTACTCGCACATATAATTTATACGTTCTCGCACACATACATTATACGTACTCGCACATATAATTTATACGTTCTCGCACACATACATTATACGTACTCGCACATATAATTTATACGTTCTCGCACACATACATTATACGTACTCGCACATATAATTTATACGTTCTCGCACACATACATTATACGTACTCGCACATATAATTCTACGAGCAATCCTGACACCACCGCAATTAAGAGGTATACGGGATCGGGCGTACTCGACCCAGCCGAGAGTGCTCGGCCCCTCGCTAGTTTTCCGTCTACCTCGTGCATCGGCAGCCTTCTCGTGGCAAAGGAGTTCCCTACCGCGGACGGGAGTTCTCGTCGGCCGACGCATCTCGCAATCCGCACCCGCGATACGCAAATAAAATCTGACCGTAATACATCTCGACGGACCGACTGTTAGCCGCCATAATTAAGGCCGACGCGCCATTATTTCGGAAGCAATACGTCCCGCGCCGAAGGACGATCCGCGCCCTGCCGCGACACCGATCGACGTACCGGATCGATAAGCGCGGATAAGGACCGCCCACCGGCGCGCCCGAAAACTCACGATCCGACAGCTAACGGCTTCTGCCGGATTTACGCGACGCGATTTATAATCGATATTCGACCGAACACCCGAAAGCGCGAATCGCGCTGCGCGCAATCGCGGTGCGTTGAATGCACCCCCGGCATTGCAAACTCGCGTACATACACACCGCATACATCCGTACACGTACCTTATACGTGCTCGCACTCACACGGACATTTACACCGTGACGCACACACATATTTATATTGTACATTCGCGCGCACACACTCTCGCTGTATAACACCTACACACTCAAACAATAAATTATATTTTTACAATACATAATGTCATTCGTGTCTCGATATCCCTTTCACGAGCCCAGGATTCCGACCGAGTTATCCGTCTCCGCCTCGCGAAAGCGGGACGTTACATAAGGACAGTGTTGCCACCGGTCTAAAAGATCTTGTCCCTACTAACCCGATACAAAATCCCTACTTTTCCCTACGCTTTGTTTCTTTATATTTATAATGTTTTCTGTATGATACAATTGGTCTAACCACCAAAACTATGTAATCTGATCTTTCTACATCTGCATTAGAATGCGGCAAAGCCAAAACAATATCTGCAAGTTTGCATATATTTCTAAAATAATATTCATCATTGAAATTTTTTATATTTCTTAATTTTGTCCAAAATTCAAAAATATTTAGATTTTCTAGAAGAGTCTTCTCTTGATTTAAAAAATATGAGCTTATCAACTCATACTCCTGTAAAACTTTAGAAATATTAAGAATATCACAATATTTATCACATAAATTAGTAATAGAAACTTTTCGATTTAAACACATTTTGGGAATCGCAAAGCGCATTACATGCACACGGTTTACGCTTGTGTGTGTATCCCCACCATTACGGAGTTGTGTTGCTCGCGTCTCAATTCTGGCATCAGTGTCTAGTGCTGAGATCTATTTCGGCTGCCTTTTTATATCGGGAGTATAACGGTAACTGCGTTTTCCTATGGAGGGGATAATCACGCGTTGTTTTCGGCGGCGGTAATTAACGGTTAACGCGCCGTTACCCTCCGGCGGGAAAACGACGCGGCGTTTTGGCGGTTGAGCACTCGATGCTTTCCGGAAGCGCTCGGCGGTTCTCGGTATCGGTACGGGCCGTAACGGCAGCCGTATAACGGCTGTACGGTGATCTCAGATATCTCGCAACGATTATAAAAAAGGGCGCTGAGCGCCTCTGCCCCTGCCCGGCTGATGTTCGCCGAGCGGCAGACTTCCGACTGGTCAACTGCCTGGTAACGATGGGAGGTGCATCGTTACAAGTTCTAGGGAAAACTTTGTGGTGGATAAGGTTTGATATACGTTGGCGTGCTATTGGAGCGTCCAGGAGCAATTCTTGACAATGTCTCTTTTTACCTATTGACCGTTTGTATTTGATTAATTTTATGTATCACGTACTCATTTAACTTATTGTATCATTGAAGAGAGTCCAGTCGAGGACAGAAACGTTTGATTAGTTATACTGACAGTTATTTATATTCGCGATTCACGTCTTGTTTATTATTTATGAGATGTTTAATTTTTGATCGTTATTTACATAGGGTTATTTATGTTTGCGATTCGCGTTTTGTATATTGTGAGATGTCTGATTTAATAGCTTTCCGTTAAGACACTCGCGTGCGCTTATCATTAAATATTGCTCCTTAAGCCTATTCTTAATTATTTGTTTTGATTTTATGGGAGTTACCCCGTTATTTTTAACATTTTTAGGTCATTTACAAATAGCTAAGCAATGAGTTGCATGTTTATGTTAATATAACAAAACAAATCTTGTGGGAATTTTATCAAAAATATTACATATATAACTGAATTGAAAGCGTCAGAATTAGAGCCTGAAATAAAAATGTTAACCATCAGTCAAAGAAGACACATAAGATATAATAATAAATTTTATTTATAAATTATATAATAAAGGTTATTTATTTTCTTGGACTAAATACTTTAAGGACAAGACTTAATCTATTTAACTTTTCTTGACATAATGGTTGAACTTATTTTTTTAAAACAATAAGAAACATGAATGTGGAAATTGATGATTTATTCGGATACCTTTTGCAATATAATGTTATCTGAGAGCATTAAAATATGTCATCAACAAAAAGTAGTTTCAATTTGAATCAAAATGAGGAGGATGAATCGGTTAGTGATGCTGAAATGCAGATTTTATTAGAAGATAGTATAAGAGTTTATAATAATTTAGCAGTTGCATTGATTAAAACACAAGTCTGCAATGCAGCTTTAGAAAATGTGAAACATGTTTTGAGGTGTCAACCACAAAATGTTAAAGCACTATTTAGGAAAGGTATTAT